TGTGGTGGAAATTGCGGCGTAACTACATTTGGGTGAACAACCAAATTGTTATGTAAGTACACACTCTCTGTAAAACTTTTGGCAGATCTAATCCGGCGCAGCCCTATCGTAACTCATACGGCAATGGGCTTCGTGTCAACGTTTGTTAATGTGTATGGTACGGCAAGGGGACAGTGGTCAGTTTCCGCGATTACAACAGCATTTGTCACTGGGTCACTGTTCATTTGCTCTGTGACACTTTTTCTCATATTCAAGTATGTGTTATTACAGAGGCTCAAACAAAAGCCTTGGACTCCTTTCGAAGAATATGACAAGCCAAGCTTTGTGAGAGAGCAGGGACAAGAGATGACCGTTTCATGCACCCAATCGCAATGGTTTTCTTCATCACAGGTAAGGAGACTGTAATAATGCCAATATGTTATGTAACCCTTAAGTCAATTGTACCATAGTTATAGATGACCACGAAAAAGAAAAATGGCCATGCTCATCTACTTCGTCAAGCAGGCCTGGAGATCGTGTCCAAGTCACAAATACGTTTCCAGAGTAACAATCCATCTAGGAATGTCAAGCTTGGCATAGCTTGCCGCTCAAACCTATGAATCCCATCTTAAGAATCTAGTCATGTATCAGGCGTAGATGAGGCAAAATAATTGTACGTAATTCTTCGTCCAGTGCCTCATTTTTCTCTCTATAACGTCGAGCCGGTGAGTTTGTGGACCACCGACCAAGTCGCGACTGTAAGTGGCATGACAGGAAGCATGCTTCGAACACAGGAACTTTGCTGAATCTTAAATCTTGTTTCCTGAATCTTGTTTCGTAAAACCCGTCTCCTAAGTCCCGCAACCGGCGCACTCGACACCACTCATATTCATCGTTTAGCGCTGTATCAAGAACGCGGCCCAACCACCGTCCTACTAGGCACTGGTTCAGGGCGGTTTGCCGGCCAATCACTAGCCTATCATTACGCCTGCATTGCCGCCGATCATCTTTCATCACTCGAGTCTTGTCCCCCTCCTCTTGTCGAGCTGTCCCTATTTCCCTCGACTCCATCGTCCTCCCCTACACGCTCCATAGTGCAACCTCACCGCGCAGACGTTCCAACAATAGACGATGTCCTCGGCGAAGGGTGGCAAGCCAAATTCACTCAGCCGATAGTCACTGGTCCTCGCAATCAACGACCTATCTTATTCTATACCTGCTATAGGCTGTTGACCCTCGGCCATGCTTGGGCTCTCTAGAGTGACCCCTTCTAATGTAATCCAGTTCTTTCCTACCTCAATACGAGATTGATATCCCATTGTCCATACGAGTCCTGAATTAGAGTATGACAGAATAGGGCCAGACTCAGAAGCGACTTTTAAAGTGTGTAGTTCGTTGTCCCATAAAGATAATGCCCGAGTTTCGACTCCTCCGATCCAGCCAAGCCTCTTTGCCTGCATTGTAGGGGAGAGTTGCAGTAGAAGTTCATGTTGCGCCGCAGGCATGTTATCACTGGTAGGACGAATATGAACTGCCTCAACATCAGATAACGAGCCATCAAGATGCTCTTGATTGCGTAAGTGCCTGTAAATACCGGAGGGACATGGTATAAACCGACCGCCAACAAATACAAGCAGTACTACAATCAGAGGATCTAATTGGAGTTTTGGTTTGGCAAAGAACAGATGATCTAGATCCATACCAAGGAACAGGAGGTCACTGGCTGATTGGTATTCAATAGAGCAGCGACGTAGTTCCGATACTATGCTTTCGAAATGGACTCCAGGCTTGAAGATACTGCCCCATACTCTCGGTTGGCGCATGCGCTGCTGGTTCCATTTAGATAGTTGCCAATGCAGGTGCAACCGAACTATGGCAGCAGACCTAGGATCTAAGTAATCCGTGATTATGATCTGCACATCGACTGGCAATTCCTTCCAGAGCATGATTATTCGCGTGTGGTGCGTTGGCGCTACAGCCCGAATATAATATCGTCAATACAACGGTGCAAAACACCAGAAGTCAGAGCATTGACAATTTTTGACGGATTTTGTATGTGAGAAGCCTCATGGGAGGTTGTCGATGGACTCTCCGCGAGTCAACAATTTAGCAATCCGCCGGATTTGAGATCATGGATCTACAGCTTTGGACCTAGGAACGCGGATCTCACATCCGAGATTCAAGACCCAGGATCCCACGTCGTACGCCTTACGTCACGTTTCAATCCACAGTCCTTTTTCTCGCAGAACGCACCGTTAATATATAGAAAAAGGCAGTGCTTCAGAAAGATTCGGTCATCAACGATTAGCGCGGCTTTACCAATAAGCACATCATTGTTTATTAGACATATTTACACCATTGTATTCTCTTTGGTACATGCGCGATGTCAGAGCTCCCGATTATTATTGCACTTCTCTGTTGTTCGTGGCATGCCCATGCTTTGGGACACGCGAGTGTAATCAATCGCTGCCCCTTCTCTGTGTTTCTTGCTTCGGTCCAAGCGACATCTCCATTTGTACTAGAATTGCCTCCGGGAGACACTTACGTTGAGACATACCGCCCTGTCGAAAACGGAACTGGTGTATCAATTAAAATTACGAGCGATATCTGCGTTGGCGAAACCTCGACCGACGTAGGCCGTGCAAACGCCTTTGCATCTAGCTCCAAGACACAGCTGGAGTATTCTTACGTGCCTTCGCAGCACCCTACGGATCTGTACTATGATCTGTCAGACATTAACGATGAATTTCCGAGGCAGTTTTGCGCCTATGGTGTTGCCCTGCATACCTCCGCCAGCGACTGTCCTGGTGTATTGTGCCCTTCTAGCTGTGACGACGTTTGTCCCAACGTCTATAACGACCCCAATGATAACCATGCTACTAAAGGATGCCGAAGTAGTGTGGATATAACCCTCGAACTCTGTGCTTATATCCGAAATCCCTAGAAGCGCTGATGACTAGAACACACCAAGCACAATTTGTAGGGAGCTCCATATACAACTTGATTTACGTTCCGTCGCACGAAGAAGATGCAAAGATTTTGTCTCGATATTCATATAAATAGTACAAAAAAGGTCAAACTATAATTACTACACTGCTCCCTTGAGATAAACCATCATTTACACTTTTTGAATGGGATAGTCTAGAGGTGTTTTCTGTATGGGTAGGGGGTAAGATTGCTCCTAAAAATGTTAGAGATTTAGGCCAGATGAAGGGGGCGGATAACATACAACTTGTTGATGAGATGGCGGGAACGTCGAATCCTGAGTTGAGCTATAGGTGTAGAAACGATATTTTCGCCGTACCACAATGTGGATATCTGCACCATAGCGTTGGCATATCAAGTTACCCTTTTTCATGTAATTGTCCATGACTCTTCTGAAGTTATCATTTGTCCTGTCTCTCTTTTGTAGGAGCTTATTTTCCTCTGCCATCGTGTTCTGACCTTAAGATAGTGACCAAAGTGTTCGCAGACCGCTGACCTATTGAAGCGTTTATTGTAGTAGGTTCTTGCAGGCTTATATACATGGGTCAGCGATGGGGGATGGTGGTGTTTTGTTGAGGATCTTGAAAACTAGATCCACGCTCTCAAATTGCAAGTTTTGGATCTCACAGTCGCCCTGCATACCTCCGCCAGCGACTGTCCTGGTGTATTGTGCCCTTCTAGCTGTGACGACGTTTGTCCCAACGTCTATAATGACCCCAATGACAACAATGCTACTAAAGGATGCCGAAGTAGTGTGGATATAGCCCTCGAACTTTGCGCTTATATCTGAAATCCTTAGAAGCACTGATGACTAGAACACACCAAGCACAATTTTTAGGGAGCTCCATATACAACTTGATTTACGTTCGGTCGCACCAAGAAGATGCAAGCGTTTTGTCTCGATATTCATATAAATAAAAAAAAAAGTCAAACTATAATTACTGCACTGCTTCCTTGAGATAAATCATCATTTATACTTTTTGAATGGGATAGTCTAGAGGTGTTTTCTGTATGGGTAGGGGGTAAGATTGCTCCTAAAAATTGTTAGAGACTTGGGCCAGATGAAGGGGGCGGACAACATACAACTTGTTGATGAGATGGCGGGAACGTCGAATCTTGAGTTGAGCTATAGGTGTAGAAACGATGTTTTCGCCGTACCACAATGTGGATATCTGCACCATAGCGTTGGCATATCAAGTTACCCTTTTTCATGTAATTGTCCATGACTCTTCTGAAGTTATCATTTGTCCTGTCTCTCTTTTGTAGGAGCTTATTTTCCTCCGCCATCGTGTTCTGGCCTTAAGCTAGTGACTAAAGTTTTCGCAGACTGCTGAGCTATTGAAGCATTGTAGTAGGTTCTTGCAGGCTTATATACATGGGCAGCGATGGGCGATGGTGTTGTTTTGTTGAGGATCTTGAAAACAAGATCTATGTTCTCAAATTGCAAGTTTTGGATTTCACAGTCACCAGGCAAAATGTTGTGAAATCTCAGTTTTCTAAAAATAGGTAGAACTACTGGTATACGACTCCCGCCCTTCACATGGTTGCTAAGGGTCTCAAATATGCAACGGCAACGTTTCTCGATCTGCTGCGTTCAGGAGCCTCAAGCAAGTGGATTCATATTGTCTATCAGACAGAGCGATGTAACGAACATATCAGTTAAACATACATTGCAAAATCAAAAATCAGTACTAGGTCCAAAAGACACTTCTACTCTATTCTGACAACCATGCGACAAGCATGAACGGTAGGATGGACGCCAAGGCCTTGGCACTTAATCCTCTTGAATAAAATTTGATGAACTTCTTATCCTAAAGCAACCTCAAAGATAATTTGTTTCAAGCAGAATATTTCCATATAGCGGGACAAAGACAAACAAACAGTACATAACCTAAGAGCCATCTGGCATATAAGGGCCTACCACAAAGCTACAATTCCAAAACAGCATTCACCAGTATCTGATACATCTCCGATGCAATATCAAACCAGAGTAGGATTCTAGGGGCTTGGCCAACTTACTGGTGGTTTATGGCGTCTCACGATTCATAGCAATCCATATCTGCTTTGTTAGCCTCCAGGCATTTGTCGGATTCCTTATCGAAAGAGCTTCTCAGCTCCAACATTCGGACCTTCCACTTCCGAATAATCAAAACGACAGTTATGACATATAGAGTAGCGGACATAGTAAAAGAAGAAACCCATTGAAAGGGTACGAGCTGGCTTCTCAGTTGCGCAACGCCAAGTGCTCCAGACAGAAAACTGAGAGAATATGTGATAATGCAGTCCTGCCTACGGTTAGTCCATACGATTTGTCACACGGACTGTAGTCACCAAACCTGATACGCCAATGCAAACAAAACCCCACAAGCGAATATGCCCCAGGTTGAAATTTGGCCGACTACACGGCATGCAGTGGATGTTGGGTCTGGAACTATCATTGAGCCATTCCAATAGACCGCAGCAATCGTCCATGCCAAAGGGCCAGACATGGTTGCTGTGCGGATCACCATCCACCAGAGTGAGTGACGGAAATACAATATACATAGATTGAGAAGATTTAGTACCAGGAGAAGCTCAGCTGCAATGAAGAAGGAATTGACGAATAATAGGATAAATGCGAAATGAAAGACGTTATTGAGGATGAACTGGCCCTGCATCACTCCAAGACCCACGGGGGAGGTTTTGTACAGGTCGTAGACGATGTGAGCTGACTGGAAGACGAAGAGGCCGACCCTGTTTAAAAATGTAAGGTGATGGAGTCTTAAATTATGAAGGCTGTAGACAAACCAAAACATATCCCCAAGAATATGGTCCAAAGTGAAGAGTGACGGGTGGAGGTAGTTCAGTTCCCATATTCTGTCGTGGAAGTAGACGGAGATAACTGCGGACGAGATCCAGGTGGTCAATGTGACAACTTGTACGAGGACCCCTACCTTATGGGCACTTGTCCACACAGACTGGTAAGCTGTCATTAAGAATATGATTAGTACCATGCATTCCTAATGACAAAGAGAGATACTTACGCTTTTCAGCTTCCATGATATGATAGCTAGAAACGGGGGGGGGACCTCGAAGACTGAGAAATGTGTGCAAGATCGAAAAACAAAATCATTACTGTTATAGAATAGATAAGTTGGAATATTAATATGTGTGTACTGGATGACTTCATATATATAAGTCCTTCGGGCCGAGAAGCCTCCGTTCAAGGCACTGTTGGACGAGGTGACAAAGCAGGACGACTCAAGCTAACCAACTAGGCAACAGACCTAGCCGCCCTCACACAGTCGACAGGCTTCTCTGCTGGCCCCTTCCAATTGAATGCCATGATCTCTCAAAGACGCACACATTTTGAAACCGTCCCTTCCTTTGAAGTTGGTTCAAGGGTTTCTAGGCGCCCTTCAAGTTTTGCCACGTAAGACACCCGTCACTACATCTATTACGATGCCAGATTCCTTGTTTGCAAGTGAGATGCTACTAATTATGGAATCAACACCACACATCTCAGAAGTGACTGCCGTGGTGCACAGGAGAACCACTGCGGCCGACTTTCACATCGATTTCGACCGAGGTTTATCTCCGGCAGCCCCTGCAGCAACCATCCTGCTATTGCCACTCGAGCCTGAATCATGGGTGAGCTCCTCCTTAGGGGGGTCCCATGGAGTACAAGGGGTGGTAGGTGTTGTTGGTGGCTTTGGAGTCTTCGGACTGTCACCCCCCTCCCAGTCATCCTCATCCCAGTCAACAAGATGGTTCAAGCATGACAGCAGTAAATCATTATCACGTTCCAATCGCTTCACCTCTGACGCAACCTCATCTAATGCTACTTGTAAGTACCTCAAGTCGCCGTGCACAGCCTGCAAGGATGCGTGAGTTGCTTCCAAGTGCAGCCTACACCTGTTCAGTTGGGATCGGAACTCCGTCTCGTTCATTTTGGTCGATGCCATGGTTATGCTCGAAGTTAGCACGTACGGGCAGTGGAAAGGGGGGAATTTTCCGCACTATTTATCTTCTCATTAGCCCCTTGCGGGATCCTAGTGAATGCAAATTTATTTACAAGCGAGCGGTGGTAAAATTAGCAATTGTGACCAGTCTCATTTGATAGAGCGCTTTCCAGAATCTTATGGCCAACAAGATAGAACTATATTTATCAAATTCCGGATCAACTACACAATGATACGGAGCAATTACGACTTTGAGAGCCTAGCTGAGCGCCTCAGTTGCTGAGGATGTGCTGTGCCCCTGTGTCTTTTTTTAGGTTTTCTATCCTGCCAAGGAACTATAGCCGGTCCTTCCGGCCCGGCGCTTAGACAGACGGGCTCATTGAACCCTGAAATTCTATCGTAAGGCAAGGGGGTGACGACGCGGATTTCCACATCGTCCGAGTCTGCTGTATTGTGGATGACCTTTGGGCCATGCGACGGATGAACTGAAACCGTGTGAGACGGGAGCGTACCTCCTTCAAGGGCGGCACTTGAAGCATCATCCTTGAAGACTGCGTACATGTCTTTGTCAACAGTAACGACAGTGTGAGAATCTGTATTCTTGGGCACCCAGACGGTATTCCAGATTTCTGGGAAGCATGTGTCGTGGAAAAAAGGCTGCACAACAAAACACATTTGCCAATGCAAGCCTTCCATGTTCGGACTAGACCGCACAGGTCGCACTTTGTGATCATGAAGGCTCAACCATTTATCTATCGCGCCCGACTGGTTAGAACATCCCATGAAACAGTATTCAGGGTGCTCGACGCATCGGAGCTGGACAAAGATGCCTTCAAGGGGCTCGTCATAGAGTGTGTTCACCTGGCAAGAGATCGTCATGTTGGACGGACAACAGTGAGTGGGTTGGGCTAAGTAAGCAGCAGAAGGGAACTAAAAGTGTTCTTGAATCTTCGACTTGGCTCTTTGGCCTTTTATGTTACCGTAGACTAAGGTCTTCTGAAGTACCGAACTCTCAGAATTCAGTTTCGTGTTTCCAGGTTTCCGTTTCCTTCATAGCTCGACTAAATCCAAGGTATGATCTTGTAGAGAGGAACCAAAGTCCGCAAATCAGGAACTTGGACTGATTGTGACTTGCGCGTCCCACTAAAATGTATAAATCACCAGAATTCTGTTGGTTCAGTGCTCCCTTCGCTCTTTGCCGGGCACACACACGCGCACACACACGCGCAGACACCCAAGCACGAAACCCACTCACTCCAGCCGAAGAACGTCATACGAGACTGACCATGGAGCCAGGCGAACTCCCACTAACACCGAAAGAAGCGGAGGAGAGCATTCTGAGTTTTACAAGAGCAGAGTTGACATGGGCTCAAATCTGCTGCCAATCGTGGGAGAGTGCGTATTACGCTGCACAGGCACAAATTGTCCAACTCCATGCAAAAGTTGCCTACCTAGAATTGGTTATCGCCGACCCAACTGAACCCGGACCCGGAGCTCCCCGACCTTAGTTAGTGCGTAGCATTATGGCTGCCTGTTGTACTGGCCCTGTTTGCATCGTCGTGTTTGCGTCGTCCAATGAGTGCACACTGGTAGAGTTTTGTTTTACAACTGCAGCGGGCATCTCCAAGCTGATTCGCTGAACCAGACTGTCGGGACGGCCCGTACAACCACTCAAGTTGTCTCTTTCCCCCACACTGCCCGGGCGGGGTGGTGTGGCAGAATGATAGGGCTGTACTCCGAATGGCATTGCACTGCCATGCGAGTACAAGGCGGATTTCACGCTGTAGATGGGGCGCGCTAACAAGTCGGCGGCCTTCTTCCAATTGGCCAACGAGCCATCACGGAACCGTCACTCGTAGTTTGCTTAGAAAAGAAACAGGGATGTCCAATGTAACACTCCTCCGTCTGTGACTGAAATTTTTTTATGCCACCGTGCAGACCTTGCCTAAGTTCACTTGTTGGACAAGTGTTAGAACGCTCTGGTTGTTTGGTGCTACCGCTATGACAATCTTTGCCGAATCGGAATGGCCCCGGCAGCGTTGAGGTGTATCCAACGAACGATCAAGGCAAGTCCTTCTCGTCGAGCCAGGATGAATTTGCCGCCCGGCATGAAGATCGTGGACAGCGTCTATCTCTTTCGATGACAAAACCGACCCCTGCAACACACCCCTAACGCTGCATTCTCATCACGCAGGCCTGGAGTACAAGGAATCAAGTCGACTGCAGCATGCCCATAGGGCTGTGGGGGCCAAGTTGATTGTGGCTAACTCCTCTGCCGCGGCGTATGCCGTCTCAGCTTGTCCATATGGCAGCCAACAAATTTGCCCTTCGGCGCCGGAAATGGTTAACGCGAATCACCTCTATTCTAAGCACAGCATTTAGGGTTTCTCAAACACCGAAGGAGGAAAAAAAAAGCCAGTAAAGCAATTCCAGCAGAAAATGTGGCGAACGATCTGGCTGGCGACTTGGAATGCTCAATAGCCGACCAAGAGCGACGGCTGCCAGACATGCGGGCAGTGGGAACTTCATGAACACAACTGTGCATATCGAGGCGTGAACGACGCAGGACTCATCACCGGGGGGCCAGTCGAATTGCCAGATACGGGAGCCAGCTACTGTAGGGAGCCGAAATGGGCAAGTGGGTAACGTCCAGGCCTATTGAAATAGGGCAGAGTGTTGCCACACAGCCTGGGGCGACCGATGGGAGACCAGAGACGAATCAATCCCAGATGGCACGACTTCGCTAAGGCACAAATTGCGTTTCGTCACAAAGGCTGGGCCGCGTTTGGCGACGAGTCTCGTTGTTAACCTACTTCCCACCAGCCCTTGTCTCTACTCGTGCCATGTCCCACTTTATTTTGGAACTCGTGAGTTCGGGGCATGGCACGAGTACATGATTAACATCAAGGGGTTGCTCCGTGGGCGTTCTATGTGAGAAATCGTCTTCCGCAAGACCCGCTGCTATCGTCCCACACCCCGGATGGCATCCCAGTCAGTCCATCATCAGGTACCATGCATCTTAGCGGCGGCTATGGGATTATAGACTGCTTCAGGCAGCAGCGTGGCTACACCGGCAGGGTCGCATTTTTGGCTTCGCGTTGGACTTACGCGAGCGCAAGAATCGCAAGGATGTACTGAAGTGGCCATGTCCACGATATGGGGTATACGCCCGAAAGAAAGCTCTGGGCCTGAATGGCAACGACGTAGGACCAACAATTACCTCAAAGGTACATGCAAGATGGATGGAGCTGGAAAAAATGTGATCTGTTGGCGGCTTGTTTTGGCTTGACGTAATGGCACTCTCCATTCGGAAAAGTGGTCCTGGTGAGATCGCAAGATACAGCCGCCAACCGCCAAACGCCTTGTTTCACGACCAATAGTATGGAAGAAACGTCAACCATGGAGAATCTTGGCTTGTAGCATAAGCTAGCAGCCCTCGTGTTTTACGTCCGGCCAGCTGACTTAGCAAGGGTATGCTCCCGTCGAGCTGGCAGGGAAGTAACGAACTGACGGCCCGCCGAGGCTGGTGTCGTAAGCATTGCTGAGTTCAGTACGCTAGGCTAAACCTAGCACGCCACGCAACACGTCAATTTTTAGCGCCGGGCACCCGTTCGTGAGAAGCGGTTCAACTTCCGAAGACATAGAGTGGGGCCATATTTCATTTGTCGCGGCCCTTCTGGTGGTCCCCTGTACTTTTCTCTCGTCCTTTAAACGCCTTTTTACAGATGCTCAGAGAGGTGGCATCCTTGCCGCTGATCCACTACGTCTGCTCCCACATTCTGGATTTGCCTTTGTAGAGCAGTTATTTCCGGCGGCCCTACAAATAAGATTCGGTGACTAATTCACTCGTATAAGTGGTTATTTTTCTGTAATTGGTTCATATATGTAGATGTTTGGAGGGGAAAAGAAAGAGCGTAGAGTGCAGGAAATAGTGAAGAATATAGAGCGACGCGACGAATCCTCCAGAAAGCATGTATCAGAAACCAGTGGGACGACGGTGGAGTGCGCAAATAACCAACGACGAAGCCTAGCCTGTACCTATATGATCAATTCACTCCCATGCGAGGCAAGTTCAATGATACGTGGAGCCTCGTGCCATGGAGGCCGATTGAAAGTGGCGAGGCTGTCCTGTAAATTAAGGCCTCCATTTTACAGTAACCGGCGCATCCTCGCCGTGTGAAGAAAAGCCGAGTCATCCAGCCGGAGGGGTGTGACAAGCAGCAGTAAATGAACAAAGCTGGTAACTATAACGGGGCTGAGAACTCATCATATCTTTATTAATACAGAAAAAGACCGACTGATAAGCAACCTGGGGTTTTCCGGGCAATCGACCAGCCTTAATTTACCCTATATGCAACCAGTCTATTGCAGTTCCGTTAGGAATTCGATCCGCGGCATCTTGTTTCCAAGCGCTTCTCTTGCAATTCACACATAGACCATTCGTGAAGCATTTTGAGGATGTGCTTCTTTGAGCAAATCGTTTGGACTTGCGGCTATTGGAGATGGGGGAGCTTTCGCGAACAATGCAACAAGGAGCATCGAATAGGTGAAACTTGCGGGCTAAAGCTTGTACACGAGGTCGAGAAGAGAAAATCGCCATGTAAGCTCTGCAACAGCATGGCTACGAAATCTCGAAAGCTGCACAAAAAGGCTGCAGACGTCGACAGATGGCAAAAACAACGGCTTTATCCTGCCACGGTTGAGAAAACCGAGATGGAAATACGCACCTTACAGGAACACATCCTGGGACTTGTTCAGCGGCACAGGCTGATAGATAAGTGGGGGGAATAGCGTATTACAGTGACAACTTTGCTCACTGGTGTAGCTGTGCCTAATGTTGTGGCGGAGTCGTATAGGATAGGGAGGACGGCAAAGAGGTCGATAAGTTGTGCGAAGAGATTGCCGTCGCTGCACGATCATGGCAGGCGCTGGATGCCCTAGTAGTTGGACAGTTTGAAGGGGAGAGAGAGAGAGAGAGGGGGCCGAGTCCTTGAATGAGGGTT